TGCTTGTAAGATGAATAACTGGAGTTGGTTACAGATGTGGTTAATTGCTTCCAACCTGGAGTTAGGTGTCGATGTGCTAGCAGCACCTTTAACAGAAGGGGGAGAATGTTGAATATTATGCTCCGTGCCGGCTGGTGATGAGGGAGTATCCGAAGGCATAGTAAGTAAGAGAACACAATGAAGATGCTTTCAGAGCATAAAAAAAACGAATGATGAGATGAATGATGGATACACATGCACCTGCAATATTCCAGGAATACTGAGTTACACGATAGCACTGTAAGGAAAGGTAGCGGAACACAATGCACACACTTCACGACGCTAAACTTGAATGAGGAGATGCACGATCAGATCGCATGCACTTGGGTTAGAGTACTAAGCATGTACCGTAGCAAAAATAGGTTAGATAGTTGCGAGAACACAATGCATGCACTTTCGCACAATGCACGGCACTAAATACACATACACAATGCACGGCACTAAAAGTGGATGAAGTGATGTATAATGAAACCTCATAAGCTAATAGACTTTCTTGTATATTGAGCACTATAAGGGTTGTAGCACTATAAGAGGAAAAATATATATATATATTTGTTTTATATAAAATGTGACGCACACACTTTAACCTTATATACTAAACAGTTCTAAGTAAGCACAGAGTGATAATCGCGCACACTATTACACAGCACTGAGTAATAACAAAATGACTGTTAGAACACGATGCACACACTTTCTGGGACTAAACTCGAATGAGAAGATGCGCAATCAAATCACATAAACTGACAGTAAAGTATGCACTATAGCACTATAAGATGAGATAACTGCAAGAACACTATACTTTCACAGCACTGAAAATTTGATTAGGAGATGTATGAAGATATCTCATAAATAAATTATCTTGCATAAATATTGAGTTTTCGCTGTAGCACTATGAAAGAAAAGATTAAAAAAAAAAGAAAAAAGAAAGAGCAATAACATGTGCACACATTCACGGTAAGCACTGAATAAAATTACGCACTCTGTACACTGTAAAGCAGCGCTGTGTATATAAAAAAAAAAAAAAAAAAAAAAGAAAGAAAAGATGAATACTTGAGCACAATACATGCACTTTTCACTGCCCTCACTGCCGATAAAGTATGTACCGTACTGCGAGAACACGATGCACAAACTTCCGGTATTAATAATGAATAAGGAGATGTATGGTGAAATTTCAAAAATCTTCTTTACATATATTGAGTAAGTGCTATAGCACTAGTTCGGACTGGGATATGTAAGAGGTAAATACTTCGTAAGCGTTAAAATCTCTTTCAAAATAAGCAATGCACACACTTTCACAGATATGAACTTGGATGAGGAATTGCACTGTAGCACTAATAAAGGAAAATACTGCTTGAGCTGAATGCAAACACGCACTTGGCACGAATGATGTGTAGTACTAATAAAAAAAAATAAATAAGAAATAAAATAAAATACACTGACAGTCGTAAGATGATTACTACTCTTATGTGGCCAAAGATGGCGGTCGACAATCTTTTCCTTCTTGTTTTGAAAAAAAAAAAAAAAAAAATACAAGCGATTTTGGAAGGGGTGGATTTAGAGTAGTATTCGATTACAAGCGCACCCCTGCGCTGCCTGTGTCCGAGACTGAGAGGAGGGGAGAATGCTAAAGTTCCTTTTTCTTATCAGCAGAAGGAAGGAGGGTCGGGTAACCGCGTTACTGTGTTAAAGTAACAACGGTCAGGAACACAAGCCGGAACAGTAATACTTAGAAAATTAATTAAATAATCAGTGAATAATGATGAAACTTACACAACTGAAGTCCTAGTGCTTTGCTGTAACTGCAGATACAAAAAAAAAAAAAAAAAAAAAACTCTTGTAAGCCTGAATATTCCGTTCACCGTGAAGCAAAATTCATACGGCCTCTTATCTCTGCGTATAGACGCGCTCTATCGCACTTATAAGGTATTTCACCTGTCTTCTTAGCATGACTTCGTAGTGTAGTGGTCTGCACGTTGGGCGCGTATTCCAGAGGTCCATGGTTCGATTCCCGGCAAGGGTGTTGCTCATTAATCATCTTGCCTGCTTCCCCCCAAAAATAACCTAATGTCTCTGCAGTGGCGCACTAACTAAAAGGGTGGTGGATGATGATTCACCACACCCAGGATTTGGCGATTGGTTCCCCTAAAACCCCAGTTTCCCTTTAAAAGTGGGAATATATAGGGTATTTCTCCCGCCTTCTTAGCGTGCCTACGTAGTGTGGTGGTCTGCACGCTGGGCGCGTATTCCAGACGTCCGTGGTTCGATTCCCATTTTTCATCTTTCCTGCTTCCAAAAACATACCTAATGTCTCTTCAGACATTTTAATGAATTTAAATGAAAATTACCTAAAGTAGAATCTTAAAAAAATCTAAAAAGTTTCTTATTTTTTATGTGTTTTTAAATCTTTGAAACTAATTTATTTGAAGTGTGGAACTTTCACTATTAAAATATAATAAATGTTAAAATTATAGTATTAAATTTATGAAAAATAAAAATAATAATTACAGATGTGTTCAAAATATTGTTTGTTGTTTTTTTAACCATACCGTAAATGAATTAAAAAGAGCAAAGAGTACAGTAATGTTTAAATAAATGCCACCCAGACGGTATAGTGGTTAGGGAGCGAACTGCGGTACTAAAAGCCCCGAGTATGAATACCGGAAGAGGTTGTAAATGTCCATCCATTCATAGGAGGCAGAGGTGGCCCACCTATTAAGTGCCTCCGCAGTAAAGTGACCATGGAGGTAGGAAAGGGAGGAGGGGCCATTCCGCGCTAGAAGTGAAGCACTGCTTTGAAGCTTGGGTCACCAGACGGGGTGTTTCTTTGTTTACATTCAGAAGCTCGCTTGACAAGATTCTGATAGTATTTCGACACACGACAGTTCCATAGAAATCGAAAAAGGGACACTCTCGCATGAAAGAAACATTCATAGTGTGATGGATAATAGCAATTTTTATAGTTTACTGACATTTACGCAAAAATCACATCTTGGTCATTTTTCGATAACTAACAACAGCGATTTTGATTATGAATTTGTTTTATAAAATTCTAAGCTGTTGCACTACAAAAATATAGATTTTAAGAAAAATGTTATGCTTAAAGAATGAAAAATACCTTACGGTACATTTAAAATTGTATACGTCTTTCGATACCCTTGATAGAGTATTCGCTACTTTTATTTTATTTTCCAAACGTCAAAATGTTTTAAATAAAACAAATTTTTTTCACATCCATATATTATTGTAACATTTACCTTTTAAAATTTTTTAGAGAAGAGGCTTTACTGCTGCTCATTTTAAACCCATCGTTTTAATTTTATATATCTGAAAAATAATCACTTTGGGCTTACACGTTTTACTTATTTGGGTTAATCAAAAATAAAATTACCATCAAATGTTGCAATCCTCGTCAAAATTATATGTATGGGTATTTATGCATGTGCTTTCAAAAAGCATGTATCTTTGACAAAATACTTAAATATTCATTAAATTATTTATAAATGTATTTGAAATGAAGAATTTATTCACTTATAAACAACTGTGAAAGTACTGTGAAGAAATCTAATGATTAAATGTATCTAATTTATAATGATTATAAATGTTATCTAAATATATAATAACCTTAATATTGAGTTGTAAACATAAATTGAAATCCTGTTGACAAATACGTTATAAAACTATTTAAGCAAGAATTGTTCGTATTGGAAAGCAATCTGTTAAAAGGTATTGTAAAGCAAATGCTATGAGATGCGCACTTAAGAACGTAATAAAGAGTTTTGGAATATGTATTGTTGAAATGAAGAGTAAAAAAAAATCTGATAAGTATAATTAAAAGAATTATTCCCCTTACATTTTATAATAACTCAGTTACAAGTTTTAAATAATACTTAAAAAAAAAATATTTTATTCCCTTTAAGAAATGTTCAGAGAAAGTCAAATACTATTTAATACCTATTTAATTATTAGGAATTAGCGAAATACTTATTTAAAGTATTTCCCTAATTCCTAATAATTCTCTAATTTAAAATGAACCGAATAGAGCATTAATTATAAATTGACTTACATTTTTCGATTTAAAAGATGCCTCAGAAGCCAAAAAAATCATGTCATATTTAAGAAAGTATTTTAGGAAGAAGCTCTATAAATAGAAAAGAAATAATGCATAATTTTAATATTAATAATGCAATAAACTTTGATCTTAATTTTGTACCTTAACCGAATAAAATCGAATTACCTTAATTTTTTTTTTCTAATGTAATTAACGAAAACTTATGAAAATATTTCATTGAAATTAAACCATTCTGAGAAAACTGTCCTGTGAAAAGTATAGCATTTAATTCCGTTTAGAATGAAATGTTGTTTAAAAATATGTTGTTTTCACATACTTAGGACTCTGAAGTGTTGTAGAAAAAGAAAATATATACATTTATATGTATATTTGCGACGTAATTACAAAATATTTACACCCGAACGCGTCAAATCCCATAGAACTCAATGGTAAATGACCCAATGTTTTGGTCACCACGTAGGGATCGCCGGTGCTTCAGAGCAGGGTACGGAGAAACTTGTTTAGGGCGACTCCTTCTTACTTCCTACCTCCATGAAAGCGACTACCACTTTTAGCCTCAGTAGTTCACGAGCCGAAGTCGGGTGAGGGCCCACCATTGGGGGGGGGGGGAATGTTTAAAAAAACCTAATGCAAATACCTCAGATTTTTAGGTCACTTTATTCGCGCGTCTGATATTTTTGAGTTTTTTATGCCTCATTACATTGAATCACAACTTGATTCCGAAAGATTTAAAGTTTAAACGAAATGCCACCTGTTTATATTTATCTTTTTTTTTTTTTTTTTTTGAAAAATATGAGTAATGTCGGTAGTATGACATTAAATGGAATAAATAAGTTTTTTTGAATTCATAGTGTAAAATACCCATTATTATTTTTTCCCACTATAATTACAGGAAGTCAGGAATTTGAAATTGCATCGCCTGAAGAAAAAGAAGGTAAGAACTGTGGTTTTATGTATTTTCGTAGATAATACAAACAAACAAAAAATTGCTTCCAAATGAAATGCAATAATGCTTCTAGAAATGCTTATTATTTTGACTATGCACATTTCATCAAAAGTCTAACGTGTTATAGCAAATACTGGAAATATCCCGAACATCCCCAGTAGTGTGTAAATTAATTTAGAAATTTGCAAATAAAATTCATTTGAATTTACAAAAATAAAGAAACTACAAAAATTTATTACTTTTCTGCTCACTTGAAGGGAAAGTATAATTGTAATAACTATGAGTCTAATTCAGAAGTCAAACAACAAAAATCAGCGTTATATTTACAAAATTTTCACAGGACTAGTTTCGATGGTTTTACCGAACCACCATCCTCAGCTGCAAAACCACAAATGAACAAGATAGGAAATAATAATTAGATAAGATAAGAAAGCCTGGACAAGAATAAGCAAGTGGCGCCATCTGTTGGCGAAACCAGAACTAAAACATAATTTCTCTAAAAGCCGAAGGCAAATTGGGTTTGGAATTAGGATCGTTAACTAGAACAGAAAGATTTTTATGAATGTGAAATGCCTCTAGAAAATCCAGTTCTCCAATGGAAGATGTTTTTTGAATAATTTTGGCAGCAAAAATTGAAAGTGTGATTTTCGGACCAACAATGCTGAGCAACAGAAGACTTCTGTGTTTCCTTTTTTCTAACATATGCCTCATGTTCTTTGACGCGAAATTTTAAGGCTCTCTTAGTTTGGCCAATGTAAATTAAACCACACTGGCAAGGAATCCTATAAATACCCCAGGAATTCATATCCGGAATGGGGTCCTTCAGTATGGAACTCGGAATTTTATTGATGGGAGAATAAACAACCCGAAAGTTAAATTTCTGCAAAATATGTGCAACTTTATAGCTAATTGATGGAAAGAAGGGAATGACAACAGAATTTTTATAATCTCCTACAACAAGAGTGTGCCTTTTAGTGTGTTGAGATGAGAATTTTTTAACTGCTTGATTAATGATGTTGGGTGAAAAGCCCCTGTCAATAGCTATTGCTTTTAAATAATTTAGTTCTTCATCAAGGGCTAGCTTGGAGGAGCAAACTTGAGGAGCACGGAAAACATAGGAATAAAATGAAGCTAACTTTGTTTAGTCGGATGACATGATTTAAAGTGTGGTGGAAGGCAAACCGATGAAGGTTTACGGTAAACGGTAGTACTGAAGTTGGATGTGTTACGTGTGACCAGAATGTCGTGAAACGGAAGAGAATTGCAAGTCTCAAGTTCAAAAGTGAACTGAATAGCAGAATCAATAGAATTTATTGTTGAAAGAACTTTATTTAAATCATCTTTATTACCTTCAAACAGGGTAAAAGTATCGTCTATGTAGCGGAACCATGCCGGGAAGTTTAAAGTTTCAAACAATTTTAATTCATAATAATGCATGTAGATATCAGCCAGGATGGGACTGAGGGGGCTTCCCATGGCTAATCCCTCAGTTTGCTTGTAATATTTATTTTGGAAAACAAAATGTGTTTGTTTCAAACAGAGTTGAGTGAGAGAAATTAGCTCATCAATTTCGATGCAAGAGAAATGAAATTCGAAAGAGGAATGAAGTCTGGTTTCTAGACATCTTAATGCACCCTCCACTGGGACATTGGTGAATAATGATTTTACATCAAAAGAAACCATGAGTAAATTACTAGGAGAAATGTTTTTAACCTTTTTTACAAACTCTATTGAATTTTTTATGGTGTAAATGTTATTGTCTAATAGAGTTGAAAATCTAGAAACTAAATATTTAGCTAATGGATACGAGGCAGTGCCTAAATTTGATACAATAGGGCGAAAAGGAATACCACTTTTATGAATTTTGGGAAGAGCATATAATCTGGCACAATTCGCAACAGATGGGATAAGCAAATGTTTTAAGTTGCTTGAAATGATTTGCGAGGATTTGATCGCAGTTTTTATTTTTGACAAGTCCGAAGGTGAAGGATCTTTAGGGATCGGATTATATGATCCTTCGTTTAACTTCTGTTGTTGTTTGACTTCTGAATTAGTATTTATTCGGCGTGTTATTGTGTCTTAATTATGAGTCTGTTCACTTTTATTTAATTAATTTTATAATATTAGAAAGGTGGAAGAAAAGAACATTCTGCTACTATAAAAATGCTCGATATACCTCGGTTTCGGATATTACGTGGATACTGCTTGAAAGTACACCTATACTAGCCGATTTTGGAATAGCATGCCAATTAGTACAGTGCTAATATTCAAGCGTCAAAATCGTTTCTACGAAGTAATGCGGTCTCGACACTCAGAAGCTTGAAAATAAGATTTAATTAACATAATGAAATTACCCCTGATTAAAAATTTAATTTTATAGAAATTTATAAATATCTAACAACAGCTAAACATTTTGAAAATATTTAAAAAATTAAAAAATTTATGCTGTAGTCCCTCGATTAACCGCAATAATACCGCAAAAAACGCTCAAATTAACTTAAAACCACGGTTAAACTGACAGTAGTTAAAAAATATAGGATAAAGGAATATTCATATTATAATTCACAAAACAATTCTATTTGTTTTCAAGCAGTTTGATTTGGAGAATAAGCTCATTTGATTAAGGTAGTTGGAACCCCAAAATCTTCAAAAAATTGTGATTTCGGATTTTTACATTTTCAAATTCTCTACATTTTTATCTTTCTAAAAATACCATTCTTTAATCTCTATGAAAATTAGAACTGTAAAAAAAATCTAGTTTTAATGTCATCGACTGCTTTGATCAATGAGGATTTTTACATAAAAACGCGTTTTTCTTATACTCGATGTGCCTTTTCTCAGGAACTACTGCTTACAGGTATCTAAAATTTTATGGCTTATTTATTAGGCTTCCTAATATTTACTGAAATGAGCGTTTTGTAATAAACTTAGAATAAAAATTTTTAAAAAGTTTTTTGTGTGAGAAAAGGGCTAAATTTTACTATGCCTAACAAAATATTCTGTAAATTACTCTAAAATTCAAAAAGTTTCAGAAGCTCATTTCAGTATAATCAAATAGGTATACTTTAATTACACAAAAAATTTCAAGCTAGTATCTACAGCAAATTTTGAGAAAAAGTACATCGAAAATGGCCAATTTAACATTGTCGGTATAGGGGTTTCCGATACCTCTTAAGTAAATTACATCAACATTAAAAACAAGAAAAATTTATTTCCTGCTCATCTGGTGGGCTTGTCCGCTGGTTTTTATTTAAGAATTCTTCAGCTCGCTACATTTGCACACAGCTGTTTGCAGCTGACTGTTTTGACAAGTTCGAAAAATTCAGGCTTTTGGTGGGACTCAATTAAATAATTCGATTCAGAATGAAAAGAGCGTTAAACAACGATGACCTGTTTGTTCATTGCTAAGAACATTATGTTTTGTGTATTAAAAATTCGGCTGGTTGTTGAAAAACAACCTCAATCGTCACGATGAGCTCATGGTAAAATAATGTGCCGGTTGCAGAACACAGTTGTTTGTTTTATAATTAAACATTTGCTTTTAAGGTCATTAAAAGAAAAAAAAAAGTTCGTTTGGGCTTCTTTATGCATATGTAAATCAAAACAAACTTTATTTAATTTTTATTTTTTAAATTGCTAGTTTTCTGGTATAAAGTTTTCTTTAATAAAGTTCAGAGTGAAGAAAGCTTTATTGGGACTTGTAAAATAACACATATTCTGAAATAACTATTATTTATTTAAAAATTTTATCGAAAAGAAAAAGTTTCAATAATAACTTTTTTTTATTTTAAGTAAAATATTCTTAATTAAAATTACGTAGCTCATGTAATCCAATTTTATATTTAGAATAAACAACTGATTAAAAGTTTTTGCATAGAATTATTTATTTAATACTCAGAATGCAGTTTATAAATTCGAAGCTGTTTAATAACCCGTTTCTAAACCTGAGGAAAAATGAATGATGTTCTGATGTTACTGTCAGACAACTGAGATAATTCACAACAACATACAATAAGAGAATGATTAGTTCAGTATAATGCTTCAGCACCATTATGTGTTATGCAGCTTTCGGGACAAGCAGTTTATGAATATTTTCCAATTACCAAATTTCCTGTAGTATTAACAGTAACAAATAATAGTAATTAGAGTTTTTCTAAATGCTATATTAGGTTGTAATAACAAGGTGACCGATTACTTGAAAATTTTTTAATTAACTGTAAATTAAATTAACATTATCCGCAGAAAATTTTTCATTGAGGAAAGACAAATATTGGAGACAAAAAATTAGGCAATTAAATAATTGTTTATATGTTTAATTTTGGGATGGTTCACAAACAGATAACAAATACAGTACTAGATTTTGTGTATATGCAATTTTGTAATATGCATACGCTAATTGTACGTATATATGCATGACCGATAAAAAACATATTTTGCACCCGATTTAGGGGGAGGGGGAAAGTGCTCGAATTGCCCCATATCTTGTGGTGTAGTTTTCTGAAGTATTAATAGTAAAGCGTATTTCCTACCATTGATGACTTCAGTTTTGAAAATAGCTGAGATGAAATATTATTGCCAAATAAGATGAAAATGTTTTAAGAATTCATGATGAAAAATTTTCTGATAACTTGACTTAATAATTATTAATTAAATTAAATGATAGGTTGTAAGGATTATGTTAATTTTATTAACAGTTAAATTTTAAGTTAAAGTTCCTTTCCTGTCGATTCTTAACTGCAACTTTCTACTTCCGGCCAGAACGTAGTTTTAGAATCACGTCTAAATGTATAATGAGAAAGAGCGGTATTTAACCGCGAAGTTCTTCGGTCTTAAGAGAGAGAGAGATACTAGGTATTCTGTCTGCACGAGTCCGCCTTTTTAGGCTGCTCCCGCGTAAGCTATTATCACGCTCGGCGTACTTTAGGCCCTTAATAGCTTTGCAGTCTATTAACGTTAAGGGACCAACTCTGTTAGAATTTTTGATAGCTTCGGCTATACCTCTTTAGTTTAGATTAGTTTAGTATTACTCTTAGTTTCTTAAGTTCAAAGCCCAAGTGCCGTCTTTATTGTACACTCCAAGACGGAGTTTGTTAAACTTTAGTTGGAATAATAAAGGGCTAGTTTACCCTTCTGTCTTGTTGTTTCCTGTCAGCGATTATTCGCTTATCAGTTCTTAAGATTCTTCACGTTCAACTGTAACTCAGCATTACACTATGAGGAATCCTACAAGGTATATGCAGATAAAAATTTTAAATGATGCGTGCAAAATAACGTCATTTACGGATTACTTATTTATTTGTTTAAAACCGTCAAGGAATACTATTAACTACTTATTTTTTAGCTTATAAATATGTCGCATATTATGGACATATTTTCACACATACACGTTTTAAATCTTTACTACAGAAAAAGCACCTGAACATTTTCTGCGATGGAATTACACTTCTAAGAACTGCGCTACTCCATATGGTAAAAATCCATGCAAAGATATACGAAGATGCAATCAAGCTGTTGCTTCCTTAGCGATACGCGGATGGCCCACAGTATGTGGATGGGTCGGAAAGGGAGTACCAAAGGTATGTTGCGGACTACCACTTGTGCTAGGTCAACAGCTCATGAAGCAGGCTGAAGAAGAAAAAGCCAGAAATATAGGTAAAATTGTTGTTAACGAATAATTTCGTTTTAGTATTAACTATATTTGGTGTTTCAGGTTTTTCTGTATTTTATAATTTTAATAAAAATATTTTGAGATTTTAGGTATTTTTGTGTTGCTGCGAAATGAGAATTGAATTGATTGAATGAGAAGTACAGGGTGGTTATAATTATTCGTAAAGTTCTACTTTGAAATGGTCGTAAAAAGAAAACTACTGGACCAAATGTTATCAAGCCTGGTAATCGTGTAAAGGAGGTCGCGGAAACTTATTTTCCACGAAAAAAAGTTCAAAAACTCACCATCAGGGGAAAATGGCGCTGTATGCAATACTGTTAAACGAAATAAGGGTCAGAATGTAATTTAAGCTTTTGCTACGCAGGCTTAATATGTTGTATACCCATAAGAAGCATTGACCTAAACAAAACTACCATTTAAAGGTGTTAACGGCGATAAAAATCGAGTGCGCCATCCGTGTAACGGGGAAATCCGTCCGTGAAAAACCATAAATTAGAGATTAGAAAATGTGAGATCGCAAATTACTCGCAAAAGTTTGCGCATTTCGGAAATCGTTTTCTCACAAATCGCTCATGTTATCTACCCAGATCCATTGCATTCTCCGAAAGTTACCGTTTGGTGTGGTATGACAGCTAGTTTCATAATTTGATCATTTTTCTTTTTGATGAGCAATAGACAGCTGGATCTGTTACGTACACTGTGACTGCAGCTCGCTTAACACCTTTTCGTGATACAACTGCAGCAACGTGGCATTTTAGACACCACGATTTTTATGCAGGACAAGACCCCACCTCACACTGGTACATGTGTCACACAGTTATTTAGGCAACATTTCATGAATTAACGGATTAACCTCAACCTCTTAGTCATTTGTCTATGGGGGGGGGTTATCTCAAAAGCACTATTTATGGTGATAATCCTAAGCAATTTGGCGGAATTGAAAGATGCCATATAACGACATGTCCGTAACATTCCTCCTGATATACTAAGAGCTGCTGTTGAGAATGCAGAAATATTATTTAACTTGCTTTCGGAAAATGGTGGACGCTACATTGAACAAGCTTTGTAACATGTTTCAGAAACGCTTAAACGCCTTTTAAACCGATGTCTTCATGTCTTATTTCGTTTAACAATATTGAATACAGCTCCATTTCTCCCCTGGTGGTGAGATTTTTAAATTTTGTTTTCGCGGAAAATAAATTCCCATGAGCTGCTTTACACGATTACCAAGTTTGATAGCATTTGGTACAGTAGTTTTTCCTTTTATGACCATTTAAAAATGGAACTTTAATTATAACCGCCCTGTATATCTCTAATGAAGTTCGAGGAAATACGAGTAAGTTTAAATGAGGTGCAACAAAAAGTGTGTATCATTTAATTGGCCGTAAAAGGAAGTTACGTGGTGTCCACATATGGCTCTACTTTTATACTGTCATTATCAACATTTTACATTAGATTTACCTGTTACGACATTTTCCCTAACCTACAAGCAGTGAATTTTGCACACAACAGAGGAAGGAACGTCAGGTCGGTATATAGTCTCTAAACCTTGCTACAGCGGTTCCCAGCCTGTGCAATTTCCGAGAAATTCTCAGATGCTACAGAAAAATAAAACTAAATTTAATCATTTAATTTAAATAAATCAAAAGCAAAATAATTAAAAAAAAGTCTTAGAAATTACATTCTGAACTAGGAATTTCGCCAATTTGAAATTAATATCTCCTTTAGCAGACGATGCTTGGTCATTTCTTGAAAATATACGTTCGAGAAGTCTCTTAATCCTTCGAGAATTCATAGAATCGGCTCATAGTTTCTCGAAATTTAGTCCCGTTTAAATTTAAATGGCTAGTCAATTAGGAGTTACTTTACAGTGAATGTTCATAGCCATAATAACGCAATTTCTCAACGATTCTTCCACAAGTTTTTTGTACAGTAGCAATACTAAAGGAACTTATTTTTGATACTCACCAACCGCTTGCCCGAATCTCTAGCTGTAACTGTAACGGAGATTTTCGGGATGCGCTAAAAGTAGCTGTCGCGCTCGGTCGCATTTTGTCCTCCTATGTAAATGTCTTTAGTGCTAATTAATGAGTAGTTATGTAGTAATTGTTGTAAATAAATGTTGGTTATTATAAAAAAATGCGTTTTTATTCAAAGTAATTTTTATACTTTCTCTGAATTTTCTGTGTTTATAAATATTCTGATTTCGCAATTATTCTCTATTGTACCAGTGTATTAGTATATGAGCTGACACCGTGCAGTTCAGGAATCAAGTTGCAATTCACGTCAAGCCTAAATACATATAAATAAACACCGATGAAAATAAAATAATGCACTTCAGGAATGCATTTGCAGAGCACGTGAAGCACTAAATACATATAAGAAGCAATAAATAATTGATGTTAGGATCTGTGTGTAAGACCATGGTCCTTTTTGTTTCTAAATGTGTATTTAGTATTTGATTTGTATTTGATAGCATTTTATTTGTTTTATTTATTGCATTTATTGTTCATGTTGTTTATTATTGTAATGTAAGGCTTATTATTGCATTTATGCCACAGTTTTAAGTTTGGCTTCCTGTCCAGGGATTGTACTGCCCAGGACGTGCAGTCCTTAGGAAGGGGGCAGTGTTACGGATTTGGTATTTAAATAGCTTATGTTAGTTGAATTGTAAATTAAATGGTTTTATTTCCCGCGCAGTGCAGTGCGTGACGAATATTAAAAGCCTTTTTATAATCGTCACGCACTGCAATGCGCGGGAAATAATTAAAAGCCTTTTAATATTCGTCACGCACTGCACTGCGCGGGAAATAAACCATTTAATTTACAATTCAACTAACATAAGCTATTTAAATACCAAATCCGTAACGATATTTACAATAAGATAACAGCGCGTCTTGTTATGTTAGTTCTTGAATGACAGTGATTGGCAGGTGGACTGATTCTATTAGTAACGGTATTTGCATTAAACCAAATGTGAATTCCTAAATATTAAAAAGCTTTAAAAACAAATAAAACAAAACAAATTAGTGAAATAGTGTCACTCGCAGCAAAGTGTGTATCTTTTACTCATTAGTTGATGAATATACGGAAAATATACTATTGTTGTCTTTAACGAATAACCCTTATTTAATTCTTTTATAATTAGTTCTATTAACAATTGCTTAACTAAATAAATCTCTATTTTTCACATGCTCTGCAACCGATGTCAGAATGCGGAGTAATATACATTAGTCCTGGAATATCGAAGATAGAAAATCGGTTTTATGACATATTGAGAACTTTACCTGAAGTGGACGAAAGCAATCCTAACAAATTCGATCCCCCGTTAGGTAAGTAAACCTTTAATTATCCGTATTTTTAATAATGGGCGGGTGTTATGAAATTTTCAGAAATGAGTCGAACGAAGAAGTGTGCAAAATCGTAATTTTCTAACCGTCTTCTAGGAGGATTGCTTCAATAGTACTGAAATACACTCTTTATTCATCGAAATTTTTAGTCCAAAGGAGCGTTAACCCAGAAGGGCTATTAGCCTAGAAACTGCATTTTGCGTCTGTTCACTATAAGTCGCGTATGGATTTTTAAATTGTTGCCACTAAATATTATCACCTTGCATTATACTTAAAGAAATTAAACAATAAAGAATCTGCATGAATGTCTATATGTTTCTTGCATTGTGAAAATACGGCGGTATCGAGAGCCATTAAATTTTGAATAACATAATTCTCCATCCAAAAATGGGCACGTGCAAGAGCAAATTTTGAATTTCGAATTTGTTTTATTAACTATTTCATATTTTGCAAGCCTTACCCAGTTTTTATGAACAAACTTAACGCTTTCAAAACTAGCAATGACAACATAGTACGAGAAAAAAGCATATTTAACTCCAGCACGCGAATTCGGCATCTGTCGAAAATTCTAAGGATGTGTTGTTTTTAAATATTTTGTGATACTGCTGTTGAACTGAATTTTATGTGCTTTAATTGCGAAGAGCAGGATATTTAATAAATAAAGGTAACACAAAATGTTAAAAAACCGCTCCTTTGAGCGTAATATAATATCTGAAGGCTTTCAACTTTTTTATTTTTATTTATTTATTGAATTGTTTTGGTGCTGCTGATACTTTTAGATTGGAATGTTTTGATAACCGCCGCCATTCGACGTGACAGTTTGACATTCGACTGTTGCCATTCAATCTTTACTTTACTTTTGAAATGAAAACTACAGTATTTGGAAAGCTTCAGTCTATGCAAATTCTTATAAAACTTGCAATTCACTCCCCCCCTTTTTTTTTTCAAAGAGTTAGTATGGGAAGGCATTACCAGTTGACCTATGGTACATCGCTGGTGTCCCCTATACTTTTACCTTACCTTTACCTTTGGTAGCTGATCAATTTTAAAATTTCGAGGACTTCGTAAATTTTTTTTTCTTTACATATTTAAACGACGTCTTTAGCTGATGAAATTTATGATACGAATAAGTTATCTAAGTCGTATTTTACCTAACTGGTAATTTTTAACATCATCATTATTATTTTAATAAGTAAAAGAGGTTTCTAATGTTATATATTGTACGGCAGTGCAGAAGAATTCTAATACGCTGTGTGAAACAATGAAGGGTTTGTTTTAAATTCAAAAGGAGTTTGTTAAAAATTAAACTGATATTTTAACGTAATCGTAAGAAAAATATTCATTTCCAAGATGATAACAGCATCTTTGAATTTGATGATTATGCTATGAATCTTAAAGTTTTAGGTAACATATTTAACTGTAAAAAGACTGTAAAGAAGATTTTCTTCCTGTCTGACCTCTTATCTAGAATCAATGCAATCAAGTTAAAATAAAATAGAACTGTTTATTAACAGATCGAGGTTATACAAATCACAAAAATTAATAGGAATAAAAGCTCCACTAAATTGCTGGTAAACAAACAGCTTTTATCACAATTTCAAGTTAAAACGAACTTCGTTAAGTGCCGTATACAGGGCACAAATGCTATTAATTAGACAATGATATTATAAATACTACGATTTTTATAACATTCACTTAACCAGTACATCTAATCAAGAATCTATTATATTGCAATGATCTCAAAAATTTTAAGATCCCATAAATCCGGCGGGGTAAACCAACCACTGGTAGCATAAGGTAAATAAGTAGAATCAATTTAAATATAATTACAAAAAATTTAAACAAAACAAACACTAGTAAATTAAAAGTAAACAATTTAATATTGTACTAACTCAACTAATAAGCAAACAACTTTATCTCCTGACTATCCCCTATCCAAAAGATAACTATATTGCACTTAAACTGAGGAAGCTGTCACGCATCGAAACCGAGATTTAATGAAGTTCTTACTTTAAGCAATACTCCAAGGAGTTTTGAGTAAGAAATTAAGTTTCAATCGTAAGATTTCTCAGCACCTTGCTCTTATAATTTAAATTTCTCTTAATTTTTAAGTTAAGCTTTTGCTAACAATTTCTAAGGTTATTAATTAACCTAATTAAGGAAACAGAATAAAACTTATCTCAAACACAAGTCGGCGAGTCCGTGGACAGCAGCAAATTCCAACGTCGAGATGGATTAGAGAGGAGCCGACACAATTGCGCTGTAGTGGGAAAAGATAAACATGAGTCCAAGCCGCTAGTAAAACTGCTGTTGTTGTTGTTGTCTTGTCCATATTACATGGAACAATGGTTGCCAAGGCCTACTCCGAAGAGAGGTTGGACTTCTATTTTCCATCCCAAATTTTGAGGGAGAGCACCCAGGGTCTCCTACCCCTCTCCCCTTCCACAAATCCACACGAGAGGACTTTCGGCTAGCCGCATATTTATAGAGCCGCCATGCTGCATCAGCACTATAGATTTACAAACATCTATGTCTTCTCCGGAATTCAAACTAACCATTTCCACAAACACTTTCCCTAACCACTACCAAAACTTCCACGGTAGCCCTACAAATTATCGCAGGCACGCCTCCTCTGGACTTGTTAGTTGAATGAGAAGCAGCAGTGGTTAACGCAAGTAGGCTATGACGCACCATGAGTCTCTGGGGACAAATCCATATCCATACAGATTATGAGCATCACATACCGCAAGCTCCCTGCCACCCTGCTAAAAATAACCTTGTGGACACTATCTACTTTAATAGAACACAGGACGCGGGATTTGCAAATGGTGTTTTCACTGATAGCTCTAAAACTTCCAGGGAGGCACGGGAAGCGGTTTCTGTATACTTTTTGGAAGGAGCTTTAACGTATGAGTGGAAAAGAAAGTTCGCTTCTGAAAACACTTGTCTTTCAGGCGGAGCTCGTAGCAATCAGAGCAGCTCTTCTCCACCTGAAGAATAATCCCACAGTGCCCAATATCATCTACACAGACTCAGCCTCAAGCGTCGCTGTGATAGCTGGAATTCTTTCTAGCTCAGCCCTATCGTCAGCAACATTAGAGACACTCTAACTCACATGCCTGCTTGGCAAAGATCGTCACTCATCTGGGTGCCCACTCATAAGGGAATAGAAGGAAATGAGAGAGCAGATGTTGTCGCAAAGGAAGCAGGGTATTCATCCACTTTGCGAGAAGTCCCGACCCTTAGGCCAGTCTCGGATATAAAGAGTCGGGCATTCCATCAACTCCTAAGAATATGGGCAAGAAAGTTGGGATCAAGCCTCCACAGGGAGACGTGTTTACAATCTCATTCCTAAGGTCAAGACTACAATCCAAACTAATAGCAATTACATGACGTATTTCCTCATTGGTCATGGGCCCTTTCCTTCATACCTCTGCCGCTTTGGCTTGAGAGAGAATGGTAATTGCGAATGTGGGGAGAAGGGTCATTCCGACCATTTTGTTTTCTCCTGCCCCCACACAGCACTCAAGCAACCAGGAGCCAAATTCTGGCCAAATTGGTTCCAGAATCTACAAAGTAACAGAGTTACCCAGCGGAAACTGAAAGTAATAATTGACGATTGTACTAGCAATTACTCTTCTGAAGCTGGAAGAAAATAAAACTTGAGTCGTATCTAACACACGCTAGGTTCTAACAATGCCATTTCTAAGCACAGTTCTCTTAGAAATAGAGATCGCACCTTCAGTATGGCATTAAGTCTTCTTGGACTGGCACATTTATTAACCTGAAAACAGATTACTTGCTCTGCAAAGCATAGCAGTATGCACGTTACGTTAGAACTATATAAGCTAGTTATATGATGACTTGTTTGACTTCTGAATTAGTACTATATATGCTAGTTCAATATGTCAGCAACAAAGTATGTAACATGTATGTTCAACATGTAATTTTGTATTTATGCTGTGACAGGTTTTCATACACATAGTTTGTACTCTATTAAAATGCTGTACCGTATCTGTAAATGTTTATATCTTTTATTTATGGTACCTAATTTATACTAAGGATCACGCGTACCTCAATGGCATGCTTCATGTAAACTTTAACTATGATGATTACGTATATGTCTAGATGTATATATGAATATGAGTGAGACTATGAATACTTTTATTTGTTTCGGAATATATATGTATGCAAGTGTGTATATCTGTATCTGAGTTGATATTTATATGTATATACATATATTTTGATTGTACTCTTCTTCAAAACCTTGTATGCACATGTATATTTCTTTTTTGCATTTTATAAACGCCGTCTGCTCAGCCGGGGCTGCCCAGGGCTGCGGCCTGGCAGCTAGTGGTTAACTCCCGCTGAGTTGGTACCAATTCTGCATGGGTATATCTATACTCGGAAGCCAACTCAGCGGTTTACTCCCCTAACTACTATACCGTATGGGCGACAGTAGAACTGCTGACAAACCGAAACGCAGCTGAAGTTAGTTAGATGTCGACCGGAGATTATATTTTACAGGTAATGCAGCAAAGTTGGTAAACTATAAGTAGACGAGCCTTGGACGCACATTAGCATACTCTTCCACCACCCGAGGAACATAACTCGAAGCGGGATATAAGTTGAAAGTCCCAAAACCGAAGACAACCGCCGAGATGACATGGTTTGAAAATTCTAACAGGAACCTCTCTGGAAATTCATTGTAACGGAATACGAATCCTGTTTAAGCGTGACGAAGTTATAAAATTCTTTAGCATGATGATGACCGGGCTGTGAAAATTATCAATACTAGAGGAGGGTAAACGCATCTCCAACATCTTGAGGAAAGCCATAGATGCATAAGGGAAAAGTCTTGAAGAGCGACCTTATATTATGGTTTCCATCCTTTTTCTTTTTCCGGAAGTAGGCCTACTCAGTCACGAGAAAAATAAACAGCAGGGTGCAGCGGGAAAAGAGAGCTCTCCGAGGGCAGAAGTCCGATTTTAATCCAATCTGCCCCACATTCCTACAAAATCCCTGAAACTTGGGTGAACCACCTCTCTAAAACGCTAAGAAGAAAAGAATGCAAAAAATTCTACTTTTTACCCTCAGTAGTTCAAAAAAATTCATGCGTCAACCGGTCTAATCACTAGGTTGACACTGAAAATGCAGGAACCCTTTTTCCCGCGCAATTCACTCCACCGTATAACTTTGGCACGTACACTATCTAAAATGACGATTTCTACCACCCAGAAAAGTTTGAGCCAGAACGACAGAATTAGACAATTAATTAGGCATATCTCCTAATCTAATAAATGTATCTTAACAAAAGGTAGACTCATATAGAAGATAAATGTTTTCTGCTTAAGTAATTACATACAAGCATAATATTTAGCATTTTAAAATCACAATATTACAAGAATTTGCCCAGATATCATTGTCTCTACGCACGAGTTACTCGATGAAAAATGAAGAACAGAATTTAAACTTTGCTTATAAAACCCAATTGATAAAATCGAATAAATAATGCTTTGATTAAACAAAATAAGCGTTGGATAGTAAAAATTTTGAATAACTGATAAGAGATACCTAATATAGTTTTAATTAATTAGAACCACTTAAATTGACTACACAGCAAGTATAATATGAGCAAAACCTTGCCAAGCCTTTATTCAGAAAGTATAAACTGAAATTCTTTCTGAATAAAGGCTTATGAAGAAATAGCAACAATAAAAACCTTTTCTGGACAGGTAAATGTAGCAGAAGAAATCTAAAACAGCGTAACGGCCGGTTCTAAACTGTAAAACGGTTTCTGATGAACTTCGAAGCCGTAAGTTTTGTTTGTATACATTCCGGTGGGAGCTCATGAAAATAGAAGTTACAGAAAAGCAAAAATAGTAAGGTTCAAAGAAGTAAAAGCTTAAAAAATCGCTTTCTTATATATGCATCAGATTCAGCAATAAAAATGCGTAACTTTCCTTTCAATATTTACCGCTCGTTGTGGGAAAAAGAATATTATTGGAAAACGCTTTGAAAATGCACTCGATTAGAATCTTGTTGCTTGCTCATATAATATGAAAAAATGACGCACTCTGCAGATATGCGTGGTAGTGAACTTGGCTCGACATTCTTTCAATATAAAATAAGTTAAACCTGAAGAAAACAATTTTAGATAGTTTCTTATCAAGATTCTGTAAAAAAAGTGGGGGCTTATGTAGTTAAAATCAGTTGCACAGAGGAAAAAATTTTAAAAATAGTTTTTCTAAAATGTACGATACTGTTTTTTCTAATAATATTTTTTAAAAAGTCTGTTGTTGAAATATCTGTTCTTTAACAGAAAATAGTAGTATATTGTGTTACCATATGACACAGTTTTGAACTTACAACTTCTAGGTTGTTAAAACTATCTGGCTACTCATTGATTTCTCACCTAACAGCTCATCCTAGAAGTTATGTGCAGAGATGGGCGAGGTATTGTCTACTGTTTACGCATTAGAAAGTAAGATGAGGCTCAAAGTTAAAATATAACGTCAACTTTATTCGCCATAATAATAATTGGAGATAATACAATTAAAAAATAAGAATAATTTAAACTATGTGCTTTCTCGTCAACAGACAACAGCTGCTTACTAATATGCTAAGGTTAAGTCATGATTACAAAAAAAAAAAAAAAAAAAAAAAAAAAAAAAAAAAACCTACGCAGATCTTTTGCACACTCTGGGTAGGAATAGAGGCTAGTTAATCTAACACTCAACCCGTCTCGGCTGACTTACTGTGCTATGCGAAACGACAAGTTATGCACATCTAACGTTGTTATTCACAGGGTAGGGTTATGCCCAGGAACCTGCTGCGTGACTTCCTCACTTGATAACCCAGCTTGGCCATATTCTTCTTTAGCTCAAATTCCTACTCTGCGAGTCTGTCGTAAAAGGATAGTAAATTCAAAATATCTTCCAAATGATCTCCACGTTAAGAACGTATTTTAGTTTTATACTGTGTTACTTGCCAGAAAATTTGCATAAACCTATGGCCGGATAAGAATATCTTGAGGAGACATCGGAATGCTAACCGTTAATAAAATTTAACTCATTAGAGCATAAATTCAGTCTTTTGTACTTTTAAAGAACGTATTGTGCAGCAAGATAAGACAGTACTCGCGTTATTATGATTTTTGAAATTTAGGCTCTATTAAGTGGAAACGTATCTTTAAATTTCTAAAAGTTTTTAAATTTCTAAAAGTGATTTTAAACGTGATTTCTGTAACTGCTTTCGTTGTTTCGTTTCAAGTTTTGATGACTTTTAGGTCTTGAGGAAAAGAAGAGCGGTATTCGATCAGAGGTTTATGGAAATTTTACAGTAAATGACCTTGTTTAAAATTAGGATAAAAATCCTAAAGAATAAATAGTGGAAGTGTCTTTTTATCTTTAAAACCGTTACTGTATTTATATGTATATGAGTTTTTATTATTTTTTGAATTAGAGAATCAGACACATACTATTTCTGTGGCGATGAAAATATTTAACCTTGTCAAAACTATGAGGAGATGTAGAATTACTATATCTTTTATACTGTTCAATGATAAAACAACTTCATTTTAACTTAAAAAAATGTTTCAAAATTTGATGATTGCGACTGAAGAAAATACTCTATAAAGTAGTCTCTGCGAATTTATTTGTAAATTATCTAAATGCTGCTTTTAAATTTGGATTACAGTTTATTAATTATTTATTTATATTTCAGATATTAACGATGTAGTAGAAAGATTTCTCGTTGGAGGAGCGCCTACGGATCAAGGGCGTTTTCCATGGATGGTAAAACTTATTATTTGTATGTGAAGTTGTAAGGTATTTCTCCCCCTTTCCTAGCGTACCTCGTGGTGTAGTGGTTCTGCCCGCTGGACCGGTATTCCAGAGGTCCGTGGTTCTATTCCCCGGCGAAGGTGGTTGCTAATTTTTCATCTTTCCTGCTTCCAAAAATCCTAATGGCTCTACAAGTGGCGCCCGAACTAAAAGGGTTGTGGATGATGATTCTCCGCACCCAGGATTTGGCGACTAGGTTCGCTCAAACACTAGTCGCCCTTTAAAAAGGGGAGTATATAAGGTATTTCTCCCCCTTTCCTAGCGTACCTTTGTGGTGTAGTGGTTCTGCACGCTGACCGGTATTCCAGAGGTCCGTGGTTCGATTCCCGACGAAGGCGGTTGCTAATTTTTCATCTCTCCTGCTTCCAAAAATCCTAATGACTCTACAAACCTGTTAATGAGCATGCGACAGTGCGTATGCATACAAATGCACACATCATGCACAGGGTCTATAGCAAAGTACTTAAACACGGAAATAACCTTTGAACAGAAAAAGCTAAACACTGTCAATTGCGTCAGATTATAATCCGTCACAGTGATTACGCTCTGTCATATGAGAACGAATGGTGGCGTATTTCAGACTGCGAATTTTTGAAGTTAGCCACCTTATTACGAAAACAATGACATGACGAAAAATTCAATAGCACTAAGTATGAAATGAAACTTACCACCCATAACTTTAATATAAGAAAATGCAGATTGCAAGACATACGACAACCAAGGCTAAAACGTCGCCTAACCGTGTGATAAATATTAAAGTTGATGCAAACTTGATAATACAACTAACAGCAAGATACATTTTATTACAATAAGAAATTAAAGCAGATGTAGTTACGAAAAAGGAAAACATAGAATTATATTGTTGCGAAATGCCCAGCTGCGGTGAGATAGCTTTCCCGCAGAGCAGGGTTAGGGTTTCCAGAAAGGGTCATGAAAAGGCAAGGTTGCCAGATTTGGCGCGAAATGGCCCATCTGGTGATATTTGGCAACAAAATTGGCTATATTTCATAGACGGAGCGAAAACATTCTTAGCGGTTTTTTTGGGAATATTCTCGAAGGTAGGTTAAAGCTATATATACCCTGCTTGTCATGGGAAGTAGTAGTATCTTGAGTTCACAGATTACCTTAAGAGCGATCGACTGAGTCAGGAGCTGTACTCTAGTGCTTTGCCATGAAGCTGTCTTCACCATTATAGACTGAACGCTGTGTTGCTGATTGTTTTAGCGTGTTTATCGTAGTTTTTTGACGATTGTAAACGTGTCTTTGGAACCGTCCTATGTAATACTGAGAATACATTATGTTTTGACGCTTCATCATTTGTTATCATCAATTACTCCCAATCCACGAATCCGTAGAACGCAACAATATTAAAGATACAAAATATCAGTATTAGTACATAAATATGCGTGATGTGTCCACAATCGGCAGCAGGATACATTTGTATTTAAGCTAGAACTTACTGCTTTATGTTCTGCATCACTTCAAGTTTCGTGTTACTACATGCTTAAATAATATGGGTTTATAGATTGTTAAAATTATTGGAAGTTGTACAGCTGGTGTTTCATGTAACTCACAAGAAATCCATTGGAGTTAGGTCAAGTGATCTAGATGGCTACTCTGCGTATTTCCATAACTGATCATACTGCACCTGAAATTCTCCGAGTATTGATTTCAGTTTATGTGATACAGCACCATGATGCTTATCGCACATAACGAAAATAGATCAACTGCAAGTCAGCTAGGAAATCAGGTGCCGCAATTAGCAATAGCTCCAAGTATCTCTATTATTAAGGTTTTTCGTAGAACACGGATCACGGATGCTATGAAGCTACTACTTATTGAGGAACCACTGAGACGATGTCAAACTTCCTGTTGCCATGACAGATTTTCAAGTGTCCAATAATGCGAACTGTATCAATTTAACACACCAGTACTAATTGCATTGTTACCATTTGTCGATAACCTTGACAGGTTTCGTGCCAAATTACAATAATCCAATCCAATCCACACCAGTACTATTGAATTTAGCCTCGTCATCAGTAAGTGAAAACAATCCGGCTGTACATCCAGTATGTTCATCACGAAGCTGGACTAGATAACGTCTTATCAGCAACTCTTGTGTTTATGTTGGTTAGCTTGCAACTAATGACATTAATGTGAAATCTACCATTCGCGAACACACGCCGCAGCCATGTCTGTCGTTCTGCAGCATGGATCAATTAACGCGTAGGGCAGGACGCACATTGGATGCACGCACGTATCTACAGTCTATAAGGTCTAGCTGAATCGAGACAACTTGTTATGCTTCCATTTTCTCTAAAATGGCAAACGTTGTCGATAATGTAGCCGCAGTGGGATGAGTATAACTTGGGAAATTTAATGAATCTAGCAGTATGGAGCAACCAGTCAAATTTAGACTCAGATCTTGTCTACGCACTGTGTTAAAAATCTTCTGTAAGTACGAATTTGTGCTTCCCGATGAGGTATAACGTAATATTTCTTTTTACATACTAGCGTCGAAAAACTATCAGCCATTCTTCACTGATGGCAGACAAATTTCGTTTAAAGATTTTACGCATTGTGATGGCATTAGAGCTTTTAAGGGCACTGTTATAAACAATTTCATATAATATGGCATGTTGTTTTTAATATAGATTAAGCTGTTATAGGTGGAAAGTTAATAAATGTGTAAAAAAAAGCTTATTAAATTTAATAAGGTTTGAATTATTTAATTTGGAGATTGTCCCTCATTTAAGAGCAAAGAAAGCTTTGTAATCAAGAGGAGATTTGTTTGCTCTATTCTTAGATTACAACAATGCTCAGAGACAAATTTTTACGAGGTCAAGCAGATTGCATAGCAAGGTTCCTACAAATGATAAATTAATTTTTAAAAATTAGTAACATACTCAATGTCTTAAAATAATGGCTTCCCCCCCAAAAAAAGCTAGGATGAGATGAATCTCCCTCTTTGTAATCCACCATTGGCAATGCTGATTATGGTTTATAATAAATTTATAATAATTGTTTAAGCAGCTTAAATAATTACATTCTATTTCGATAGTGGGTTAAGCTGCCGACTTCTGATTTATTGCTTACTCTTATAAATCCCATTGGCGATTTATGGTTTATGAGCTGCAAACTCTTTCTAACTTTATGTTTGAAACGATTTTACCGACTAGGTATTTTCAGAAATAAAACCATAATTCCTGGTAAATAGTTGGAAGCATGAAAGTTTACTATACTCGATTTTTATGGAGTTTGAGCAACATCATGTATCGTCTTCGAGGAAACAATGCCCGTGTTCGTTTATTGGAAAATTTTACGTCAAGTTCAGTATCATTCATCTGCACTAGCTCTGCGAGATCAGTTCCTCACTCGTGTTATTACAGCATTTTATAACATACTTTGTTCATCATATGCTTGTCTTCCTTGTAACAAAATGCACTGATTAACTTGTAGAGACATTAGGTTAATTTGAAGCAGGAGACTTGAAAAATCAGCAACGCCTTCACCGGGAATCGAACCACGGACCTCTGGAATACGCGCCCCAGCGTGCAGACCACTACACCACGAAGGCGGAAGAAATATCTAATATATTGTCCCCTTTAAAGGGAGACTGGGGTTTCAGGGGACCCAATCGTCAAATCCTGGGTGTGGAGAATCATCATCCAACACCCTTTTAGTTCGGGCGCCACTTGTAGAGACATTAGGATAATTTGAAGCAGGAGAAATGAAAAATAAGCAACGCTTTTGCCGGGAATCGAACCACGGACATCTGAAATACGCGCCCAGCTTGCAGACCACCACACACCACGAATGCATGCCAAGAAGGCGGGAGAAATACCTTATAAAATGCTAAAAATGTTGAATTTAACAAAGCATTTTCCCGAAATTTCTTTTAAATTTAAAGCTGAATCTCCAAACCCTATTAAACCACGCCGTTTTTGTACTGCATTGCAAACCCTTAAGATTGTTTTTTTAAGTTATTAATTAATATTTTATTTAGAAGGATTTTCCGAAAGAAAATCAATAAATACTTTTTAAATAAAAGAACCCGCTTAGGATCGAAGACGCTTTAAACAGCAGACGTGAAATATTTTCCATCTCATTAACGACATGTCTTAAAGATCTCCGATTTGCTAGCTTGTTCTTCAGCCGAATGATCATGTACAATCATGTAAATTATAGTGTGAGACAGAACCCTAAATAAGATGCACTTCTCTTTATGAAAATGAAACCACATTTTCAGCAAGAGCTCCAGCACTTCTCTCTATTAAAAAGAAACCAAAAACAAACCTATTTAGCAAAAAATTCTTTTTATCTTGCAATATTTCATTTTAGTAATCTTGGAAATCGTACTTCTGAATGCATGCTGATTTCTTTCCCTGGTAAACAAACAGTTATATGGAGGTTGAGATATTCAAGGGAAGAAAACCCCATCTACATGTCGAAATATTACTTTCTGGGAAATGCAATAAATGCATGGCTTGCTTGGGAAAGGTTAAATTTCTCATAGTTACCTTAGTTGTGATGTCGTATTTGTTGATTCGGTGTCAGCGGTTTCAGTTATTCAAGATTTGCAACAGGACTGGGCAAGGATATCGATTTTACGTTTCTAAATGCCCCCGACTAACAACATACCTAATATAGTGAAATACTATAGGTAAACGGTTCATACATATCTAATACTAGAGTTATTCCATGGAACTGGTCGCCAGTAGATTTTACAGACCAATGTAACCAAATATGGGGTTGAAAATTCTCGTACAAAAACAAAGAAAGAGAGTGCTTGACTCTTTTCTCTTTGTTTTTGCCCCTAGGTTTTTCCGTTAAAATTTTCTTCCATTTTCTCTTACTGTTTTTAACATTGTCTTTATTCCCCTTACTATTCTTTACTGTTATTTAGATGCTTTCCTTCTTTTTTCATTGGTGTTCTAAAAACAAAGACCGCTTTTTTTCCATCCCCGGAAATAGTACATTAAACTTTATATCTAGGCTTTAAATTCAAAGCGAGTCCTTCAAAACCCGCTTCCGATACTTCTTGAGTGAAACTGCAATTCTTGCTGAAGCCCCAAATAAAATGAGATCTGGTATTTTATTTTGTTATTTACTTATTTGTCATAAATTTAATTTATAATTTTTATTATCATTTTACGTTTTATTTAATTTTAATTTTTATTGTTTTATTTAATTATTTTTCTCTTGTTTTCTTATGATATCTCACAAGGCTCTTTAACTTCTAATTTTAGATATCAAGCCTTGTATACTTGATTCCTTGCAAGAAAACGACTGCTTTTATATGTAACGGAAACTATTCAGTAAAATTTAACAATTTTGACAACATTTTATTTAACATGTTTTTTAAATTTAGGTATCCATTCGGAAAGAAGGTGTTCATTGGTGCGGGGGCAGCTTAATCGATAGAGTCCATATTTTGTCTGCAGCCCATTGTTTCGTCTCTAAAGCGTAAGTGGAGCTAGTAAAAAGAGTTAATTTTACTGTATTACACAAAACTTTACTTATAATATCAACACAGGATATGGTCCTCTCTAACACTTACAAATCTCACAAAGAGACTTCGTACCACCAATGTGGTAGTTTGAGTCCCCAGTCCCTGAAGCAGTCGATTCCATTTCTGCGGCAATGTTGTGTTCAGCTTCTGGTGCTTTTAGGCAGCTTCTGGTGTTTTTAGGGAACGGCGTTTGCGATTGTCTCCCAAGGGAGGGCCATACGTGTTCTAGAAATTTCGATATGAAAACCAGGCAAGCATTCCATCTTGCTAATGTCCTCAAATTTCAGAAAATCATCCATCAGGTTAGCTCTATATAGAGGAGTGTTGTTCTCAATAAAAATTAAGTGAGGGCAGTAGCATAATGTAAAGCTTTAAGATTTTTTCTGTTTGCAACAGATCTGCTGTTTTTATATGGTTCATTACTGCACAAAGGACCTACTATTTAGCAAATTTAGCATCATCGACTTTAGAACAAGCATCACAGAACAATGTTCTCTTCGTAGATGGTTCCTATGTAGCCTAACCACTGAATTCTTGACGTGCCTTCATCTAGAGAGAACCAGGGACATGCTAGCTGTCCTCTGACACCGAGAAAGGAACTAGTATGGCAGAGCAGATTCGATGGCTTGGAAGGTATCATGTTGGATGGCGGCACAGACCTTCAAGGCTTTGAAAGAGGCGCTGTAACTACCTTAAAGAACAGGAAACAGGTCTTCGCTATATGTTTGATTTTTTTAACTCAACTCTTTTTTTGTGGACGGCGGCTGTCGTCCAGATAGGGCTAGTTTGGTGCGAGTGTACAGGCCAGCAAAATCTCTACACTTAAATCCTATAGAATATGCAAGGGGCACTCTTGGAAGGATAGTTCCTCCAGGACATGAAAACAGCTTTGCTGCAGAATAGTGACCGACTGTCGCGGCAGTTCATAAACTCACATTTATAAAGTCACGTTGTAAGAACGGTATGATTGTTAGATGGGATCATAGTCCCTATCAGAGAGCCTTCCAGTGCCGATGCGCTTTACACACGATTATGCACGTGTCCATAACAATTATATGACATAACTTTTATATTATATTAACCAGTGTGTCCAAATAAAATTTTATTAAAAATCTGTCTATCAGTAGCGGAGATAATTGATCTAATGTGAAAATTCTCTTAATTTTACATACTAGTGACTATGTAGAAAATATAGTAAGGAGAATTCGCCATGATGATTTTAATTATTAATTAAATAAGAGTTTGTATTCCTACTACTATTTAAATCTTTTCTACAGAGTAATATTTCGTAAGCATTTATATATATTTTTATTTTTAAACTAAATTTATAAATAAATACTTTTTTTTAAACTTATTCTAGCTGTGAGATTATCTTAAATTGAAAAGAATTAAAAATATATTCTTACGATGAAATGTTTAGTATTGTACTTGAAGCGCCATTTAAAAATCTAAAAGAGTGTTCAATACGTTCTTAAAATACATAATTTTCATTGCAAAAACATTAATTTAACGCTAATTATGAAAACTGATGTGCATGATTATACAAACTATCTCATTTTTTATTTGAATTTCACCGTTTTAGTAAGTTACAACACGAATAGCTTGCCTAAAGTCTCCAAACTCATATATTAATCTATTTATTTTAAGAAATGTATTCATGTTTTGTAACATATTTTAAAGTGAATTACAACTTATGTTTTTGCTAAATGTAGGAATGAATATGGTTCATGCTCAAAAATTTTCGGAGAATTGAAGTAATTATTGAAATACAAGGAACTGCAATACAGAAATGTAAACGACTACATTACGAACAAAACATGACATATTTTCAATATTTAGTAATTACTAGCATTTGTTTTCAATAACTGTCTTAACGGTGTCCTTATTCTAAATAGCTTTGAGCAGAGTTTAAAATTACAAAGTACACATAACATAATTTTTTAAGTTAGATTTCTTATTAAACTTTAATATTTTGGACTATAGAATCATCACATTACCTCGTGAATGCTGTTATTGTGTCTGAGGTTAGCAAGTCCAGCTGGGATAAAAAATAGGTGGTTCGAATCCCGGAAAGGGTGCAATTGAATCCTCGCGTTTCTTGGATCTAAACTGTGCTTTCGAACTGAAAGGGGTTGGAAGACAAATTATCACCGCTTGAATCTGGTCGACTGGGTCTTATGCCTTTCCTCATTAACGCTTTAAGTAGAGGAGTTATGAGTTAAATGAGATTCAATTATTTGAATTATGGTAAAACACGCGACTTCTGTCTGCCTAAAGCGGGTTTTTTTCATGTAGGATTTTTAAAGGAAAGTGTTTTGAATATACGTTACTCATGACGAAGACCATAAAAACTCTCGAGTAGTCAACCTGTTTACTGAGATTTAAACACGAGTTGAACTACCAGGATTCGGCGATTTTTTGCTTGGCCACTGGTAAGCCAGACTGTAAGAAATCAGGGCATTTTCCTGTACAAGCTGTAGCGGTGTAAATAATTAACTCTACCAGCTTTTGGAAGCGAGAAATTGGATGATCCGTTATTCGAATTTGAGCTAGAGTATAGTTGATTTCTTACGTTTTCTGGCTTAATTGCTAATCATCTCTACAGCATAACTTAAAGTATGTAATATGTCAAGTAATGACAATATATTACATACTTTAAGTTATGTATATAATTTAAAATATCTTAAAAAATTATTTAGCGTTCTTGTGACAAACAAGTTTATTTATGAATATGTAATGAATGTCTGCACATGACATTTAAGAGAGTACTTACTGGAATTTCAGTCGTAGGAATAAATTATTTCTATGTTTTCCGAGCGGTGTAAATAGAGAATAAAATATTAAATTGCATTTAAATAAGGTAAGAATGAGTTGCAATGAAACGAAAGGACGATAGAATACTAGAAACACACTGTGAGTGCTTAATTGAAAAGAGAACGAAACTTAAATGTATTCTGAGTCAGGAAAGCACTTCTAAAATAATTATAAAAATAACTTTTAAAATAATATGTTTTTAGTCATATATCTATTCTGATAACTTCAAAATTAACATTAAAAGTGCTGTGAATCAAATTTTAAGCGAGACATTTGAACAGTATAATTGAATAAATGAATGATTAAAATTATTGAATAAAGGAATGAGTAAATGAATGAAACGGTAGACATGAATATGTGACATACTTAAAAGTTTTGGGAGTCTTGAAGTAACTATCGGAACACAATTAACTGAAATACTGAAATGTGAACGTCTACATTGCGAGCAAAATGTGGACTTTAGTTTTCAAGACAGAATGTATTGAGAGTTGATTTTAGCTAACTCAGCTGTCAGTTGTTGACATCTGACTTGCTGCCTACATGGAATTTGAGGCTTTACTCCCTGTGTAACATAAATAGAAGCTCGTTTCCATTGGCTAAAAATTATCATGATATCCCTTGTGTTAAGAAGATAGCTCTTGAGTGTTTTGCCATAATTAGTCAATCTGTTTTCTCATATTACAACTATTAACAAAAGTTTGAAGTAAATTAAGTAGCTAATGAATTAAAAAACTTGAATATTTGAAGAATAAATGCACTAAAAACATGCATTTAAATGACCAATTTATGAAACTGATATAGGTTTGCAAAAAAACGAAAAAATCTGAGAGGTTTCAGCTAATAACGATCATCCGAAAGGGTTTGTTAAGGTTTACTCTCTCGCTGACCTCGCTGTCTGTTGTTACACTCACTCTTACTAACTCATATTTTTTGCCTTTTAAACTTTATTATTAAGCATCATTTCCTTCGTACTCACGCCATACACAATTAAACAGCAAAATTACAAAAATTTAAAAGCAGCATACGTTTAGAATTCCCAATGCAGCGTTAAGCGTTGGCATGCATTTTACTGTTCCTTCCCCCCCCCAATCTTTTCTCCTTTTGTCATATCAATGTTCAGTTTTCTTACTAAGATGGCTTTAAAAACATTTTTTTTAATCTTTCTATTGTTAACGTTTTGTGTATTTATTTATTAAATATCACGTTCTTGGCGCTTACGTCATATAAAATTCGGATGAAGAGCAACATCACAAAATATTTAAAAATAGCATATCTTTAGAACTTCCGATAGACAGTCTCACGAACTGGAGATAAAATGTTTTATTTTGTACAGTGTTGTCACTGCTCGCTTTAAGATCATTGACTTTGTGAATGAAAAATTCGTTAAAGTTTGGCAAAATATAAAATAGGTGATGAAAAAATTCAAAATTTGGGCTTCGAGGTGTCCATGTTTGGGTGGAGGACTGCGTTATTCAGAATTTGATGATTCTAGGTACCGTTGTTTTTCCCAATGCGAGAAACATACATACATTCATGCAGATTTTTCATTATTTAATTTTTTTAAATATACATGTTACAGTGAAACACCGAAATCTGGAGAATGTCGACTTTCACCGGTGAATGTCAACATTCACATAGTCTCTTGGTGTATGTCCGAAATATTTTCCAAATACTCTTATTTCTGACTTACACCGGTCAATGTCGACATTCACCATGTACGAATGGTGAACGTTGAACATATAACAATATTATATTTTTCTTCTCCGTAATTCAGTCGCGAATAAACGCACTTGAGACTTGAAATAAGAACTTAAGAACATGAGAACCTAAAACACACAATACATTCAAAATGAGAAAGGAAAATAATAGAAGTTAAAAACTTACTTAATTATACAGTACGTTCTAAATGAGAAAATAAAATAACAGTAATAAAAAACTTACTAAATTGTGTGATTCAAATCTTATTTATTGCAACAACTTAAACTATTATGGCACTTTATGACTCTCTTTTCGACATTCGCCAGAGCATATCAGTGATTGTTGACATACACCGGTGAGAGTCCGAATATACAAGAATGTAGTGAAATATTCGGTCTTTCACCGACGTATTTAGTGAATGCTGATATTCTCCGGGTGAAAGTCGACATTCTCCAATTTCGGTCTTTCACGGTAACATATACACGGCAATAATATTTGGTGGCTATAATTTTAAAAGTGATACGCCGTTTATTCTTATTTAACGAAATAATGCTGTTGCAAGACTAATACCCCATTTGGAACTAATGTCTCTTTTGGGCTAAAATAAAATTTTCAGAAGTTTCCTTGGCGTTAAATATTTTTCATTTCAATAACATTGTAGATCAGTAATCCTTAACTTTTCATTTCTGACTCCTAAGGATCGAAGATTTAATGGTCAGAAGTACGCAAGACATTTTTTAAACTTAAATTTTAATATTGTTATTTGATTTCACGGTGGTAAATGTGTGAAGTTCGACAAAGTACCCATGCTTATGACAGGGATCCTCAAATTCATTAAAGCTTAGGAACCGCCATTGTAGGCTATTTCATTTCTAATAAACGGTGTAATCGGTTCTAAGTATACTCTTCACTATGTCGTAGTGTAGTCATTAGGTTATTTTGAAGCAGGAGATGTGAAAAATGTGCAATGACCTCGCTGGAACTCCAACCCTCAACCTCTTCGAATAAGCGTCGAGTATGCTTCTAATTACACTACGAAGTCATACGGAAAGGAAGGAGAAAATACCTTACATACCCCCTTTTTTAAAGGGTGACTGAGGTTCAGAGTACCTAATCGCCATATCCTAGTGGTGACGAATTATTGTCCTCCACCTTTTATTTTGGACTTCATTTGTAGAATCATTAAGTTATCTTAAAGCAGGAGACATGAAAAACGTGCAGTGCCTTCGCCGGGACTCGAACCCTTGTCCTCTCGAATAAGCGTCGAGTATACTTCCAATTATGCCACGAAGGCATGCGGAAAGGAGGGAGAAAATACCTTATAATGTACTTCGAAAAATGTTATGAAATGATAAAATTTTTTTCAAATGATAATGAAATTTTATCAAATGATAAAATTTTTTCATATGATATTTTATACAGTTTTCTGCTTACCATTATGAGAAAATTAAGCTATTCATAACTTAATTATTTTGCTTTTTTATAACTGCTTTTATTTATGTTTTGATTGTTTGAATGAAATATCTTCTAAATTTTCAGAGAACCGTACCCAGATCCCAACAAGTACACAGTTTATGTGGGAAATATTTACCTAAGTAAAGGATATCCATTCAGTGTTCAGGAAATTATAGTGCATGAAAGCTATCAGCCGCAGACGCATTACTACGATATTGCGATATTAAAGCTGAGTAAAGAGATTTTAACCCCGCAAATTGCTCACATCTGTCTCCCACCTCCTGAAATGGCAACAATGGACTTATCTGGGCACAATACAACAATCTTGGGATGGGGGAGCACTGAATTCGGTAAGTTTTCCAGTAGTCTGTAGAAAACTTCCAGAAATGAAGTAGGAACTGAACATGAAATTGCAAGATGCAGAACCTTAAGTTCCGTCCTCGTTTTATTCGTAGTGATTCGTATACCAAAACAGGTATACCGTAATTTATCATTCTAGTTGGCAACCCGTGCAGTTAACTTACCGGAATACAAACGCTAAATTAAATGCCAAATATAAATTTTTATTTGTTCTCGATATATAGCGTAGTTCGATATACAGAGTAGTTATAAATAATTCGAAATTTTGGAATGGCAACACCCACTTTTTCCCGCGCAATTTTATCAGTACTTCGAAAAACCACAAACAGCATTAGAACGATTATGACGAAAATTGCCGGCATAAAACATTTGCAAAGATGAAATTATCATTATTTCTCATCAGATATGACGAAAAAAAAGCAGGTGGCTGTTGTGGAAATTATGGACGGATAAGAGCATTTCTTCTTATCAGGGAACGTAAACTCCAAAGAACTCCGTTCACTGGGGCTGACGAAAATCCCCACGATGTGTCACCGCGATTGTGTGGTGCGGTATCGCAAGCCCATTTATTCTCGGTCCGTACTTCTTTTAAGAGGTCACTTGTATAAAAATGTGCTCCATCACAAGTGCTCGGCGCACAGCAATGATGCAGAATTACGTAATTCCAGAATTGCAGCAGCGAAATATCGTTAATGACAATGAATGCATACAAGATATTGCTCCTCCAAACGTCGCCACATATGTTCGCATCAGAAATTTCGAGATAGTGTCATCGCCCATAACTTCGCAGTTTCGTGGGCAACGTCATCCCCCGACTTCATTCCGATGGATTTCTGGTTCTGTTGTTATCTGAGATCTCAGGTATTCATATCAGACCCACAAGATTTATCAGAATTGAAAGATGCTATAAAACACACAATTAAACAGATTACATTCGTCATTATTGTCAACAAGCTCCCATATGCAATGTGTTATCGTTTGCGGACTGCGAAGGTGGGCTCGTTGAAAACTTGTAATTCCAGTGAAAGTCCCCCCCCCCTCTTCTCTCTTGTGCTGTCCATGGAGGTAGGAAGTAAGATGGAGTCGCCCTAAACAGGTTTCTCCCGTACCCTGCTCTAAAGCACCGGCGATCCCTACGTTGTGACCAAAACATTGGTCATTTACCATTGAGTTCTATGGGATTTGACGCGTTCGGGTGTAAATATTTTGTAATTACGTCGCAAATATACATATAAATGTATATATTTTCTTTTTCTACAACACTTCAGAGTCCTAAGTATGTGAAAACAACATATTTTTAAACAACATTTCATTCTGAACGGAATTAAATGCTATACTTTTCACAGGACAGTTTTCTCAGAATGGTTTAATTTGAATGAAATATTTTCACAAGTTTTCGTTAATTACATTAGAAAAAAAAATTAAGGTAATTCGATTTTATTCGGTTAAGGTACAAAAATTAAGATCAAAGTTTATTGTATTATTAATATTAAAATTATGCACTATTTTTTTCTATTTATAGAGCTTCTTCCTAAAATACTTTCTTAAATATGACATGATTTTTTGGCTTCTTTTAAATCGAAAAATGTAAGTCAATTTATAATTAATGCTCTATTCGGTTCATTTTAAATTAGAGAATTATTAGGAATTAGTTCCTAATAATTAAATAGGTATTAAATGGATTTGACTTTCTCTGAACATTTCTGAAAGGGAATAAGTTTTTTTTTTTTTTTTTTTTTTTTTTTTTTTTTAAGTATTATTTAAAACTTGTAACTGAGTTATTATAAAATGTAAGGGAATAATTCTTTTAATTATACTTATCAGATTTTTTTTATTCTTCATTTCAACAATACATGTTCAAAACTCTTATTATGTTCTTAAGTGCGCATATAATAGCATTTGCTTTACAATACCTTTTAACAGATTGCTTTCCAATACGACAATTCTTGCTTAAATAGTTTTATAACGTATTTGTCAACAGGATTTCAATTTATGTTTACAATTCAATATAAGGTTATTATATATTTAGATAACGTTTATAATCATTATAAATTAGATACATTTAATAATTAGATTTCGTCACAGTACTTTCACAGTTGTTTATAAGTGAAGAAATTCTTCATTTCAAATGCATTTATAAATATTTAATGAATATTAAGTATTTTGTCAAAGGCAGATACATGCTTTTTTGCAAGCACATGCATAAATACCATACATATTTCCTATTTTTTCATTTCCGGCATGTGCAAATCTTAATTTCTGTGCATTCACTATATTTTTCGTGTAAAGTAATTTACACTATTTAGCATACACCCGAAAGTTTTACATAAAAAATATATATGAATATAATTTGAATGAAAAATTTAAGTATTATTTTTAATACCCACTCAAGGTCAGTTTTTCTTCAAAATTCTCCACGATGGATCTCTCTCTTTAGGCAGATAGCCCTGCATGCGTTACTCTATTTAATTGACCATTGCCTAATTACAAATATTTTAACGTACATAATTTTAAATTATAAACGTGTAAGCCAAAGTGATTATTTTTCAGATAATAAAATTAAAACGTGGGTTAAAATGAGCAGCAGTAAAGCCTTCCTCTAAAAATTTGAAAGGCATTTACAATATATATGGATTGAAAAAATTGTTTTTTAAAACATTTGAAGTTGGAAAATAAAAAAAGTGCGAATACTATCAAGGGTATCGAGAGTTAACATTTTAAATGTACGTAAATTTTTCATTCTTTAAGCATAACATTTTTCTTAAAATCTATATTTTTGTTGCAACAGCTATAATTTTATAAAACAAATTATAATCAAAATCGCTGTTTAGTTTATCGAAAATACCAAGATGTGTTTTTGCGTAAAATTTCAAAACTATACCAATTGCTATTATCCATCCCACTATGAATGTTTTTTCATGGAAAGTGTCCCTTTTTTCGATTCTATGGAACTGTCGTGTGTCGAAATACTATCAGAATCTTGTCAAGCGAGCTTCTGAATGTAAACAAAGAACACCCCATCTGGTGACCCAAGCCTCAAAGCAGTGCTTCACTTTAGCTCGGGTTGGCCCCTCCTCCCTTTCCTACCTCCATGGTGCTGTCGTTAGTCATTTATAATGCTCTTCTTCGCAAATGTTTTACGCCGGCAATTTTCTTCCTTCGTGTATCGTGCGACGCCATTTATGGTTTTTCAATGAGCTAATAAATTTGTACAGAAAAAAGTGGGTGTTGTTATTCGAAAATTTCGAAATGTTTTCACTATAACCATAATAGTGACAGCTCTACTGTTTTAAATCATCATAATCTCGAGCACATGCATTCAAATAACAATATCTGAAATTTTATTTCGATTGGTTGAGCAGATAGGCCACTAGGGGTTCATATATCGAAGAAGTCTTTTATGACCACTCTGTATATACCGTGTGCAGTAAAATCCTTATTCACAACCGTCTACTGTACACATATACTTCCAATTACAAAAGTGTTTTACATGATTGATAGATTCATGTTTATGTAATTTTAAATAAAAAGACATTTAATGTTGTATAAAATAAGAAAATATAACTTTTTGTAAGTTTTTCTTGTTTGTTCCTATATTAATAGTTCCAAAATTTTTGTACTCGTTATAAAAAAAAATAAAAGACAATATGTTTAGCTCCCGTACGACAAAAATTGATTGAGATATTTGGTATTAAAGTCGTAAGTCGTATTTAGGGGCCGTACTCAAAATGCGGAGCGAAACATATTTGCATGTAAATAAAAATAAGGTTTCTGATATTTAGATATTAAAAAACGAGCATTTCTGTGCAAATTATTGTGAAAAGTATCAACGAATATAATTAACAGAGATTTTATTCATAGAATCTTACATAATTCGCGTTCTAGAAAACATTGACGGGATTCCGTATTGGATTTTAATTAACTCTTAATAATCTTTACATTAATTAAAAAGGAAAAACTTTTGAACATTAATGAACATTGTTATGACTATGAGAATAAGATTTTCACGTGAGAAAACTTTATGAGAATATTAGTAACATATTTTTAGGCTTTGAATAACTATAAATTACTTAAGAAAAAATTCTTTCTTCATACCAAATGTAACAAATTATAAAAAAAAGTCACTAGTATATCACAAAAGAATATCACTTAATGGCATTTAAAAGAAAAAAAAAAGATAAATCCCGATATCTCCGAATTTATTCATTAACCGACCTCTTAGTGCAAATTAAAAACAACGTCAGATATCCCAAATTTTGAAATTAAGTAACTCGGACAGATTTCGTCGAGCGGGAGTCAAACTTTTTATGTTTTATTTTTTTTAGCGAGAACAAAATACCGGAAGAACGTGTAAATATTTCACATTTTATACAAATGTGAGTTCTCTAAATTTAAAAATATGAAAATGTGAATCTTTGCATCATTGAAAACGTTTTTGTATTAAAGAGTATATATGTTTGCGACTAACGGCTACCGAAATAAAGGCCGGGTAAGGGCAGTCGTCGGCATGGTGTATATAAATAGAAATTAAATTTATACTTGGAACATCTACTGCAGTGGTGGACTTAAAATTCAAGATCGCAATAAATTTATATGTAACAGAAAGTACGAAAGCAAGGCGTAGGAGTTATAAGAGTGGTATTTTAACCAGCACTCTCCCAAGCTCAAGCTTTGTAGCATTGAGAATTTAAAGAAATTAATTGGCTCTCAAGAACTCTGATTCCTTTAATTAAGCGGACAGCCAACAGCCGAGTGGCAAGATTGTCCAGCAGTGGTAGTTCCGCTGGACTCAAATCCCAGCGAACGTCATAGTTGCGTGATAGCTCCAGTAGTTTTTTCAATGCGTAACATGAATACTAACCAGTTTCTTTTAAAACTTTCTTTATGAAGGCATCCTTTTCCTTAAGCAGATTGCCTACGTGTACTTTGCCCTTGTTTAAATAACCGAACTTAATCTATAAAGAATCACACTGAATCTTCTTAAATATGAGATTTGTAGCTTTTGGACAGAATTGAGTTAAAACGAGAAATGAAAGAAGGAAGACATTTTAAATAAGGAATAGGTTATTTAAACTGAAATCTTACAAAGCTAATAGTCTCCCAATAGTCTGAACTAACTTTCTTAAGAATAATGGAAAGAAAAATTGACAGGTTCTTGAGAATTAAAAACTTTAAAAATGAACCAACTGAAAAATGTATATCAGATCTTTTCTATACAAATTTAATAATTGAATAAACTTCATGATTTGTAATTTCTTTTTTGTTTCAAAATTTAAATAAAGTAATTTTTGTTCAAGTTTAAGTTTAGTACAAATTTTAGATTACTATAAAAATGCTTAAAGAATTTAAGCTCTTCAAGGAAGAATGTTAATTGCTGAACAATTATTTTTCAGCATCATAGTTAGTAACAGTAAATTAAGAGGTTAACGAAGCAGTTTGACTGCAAACCTAGGAGTTAGTTAGTTAAACATTTTTATTGTTAATAACAGGTTTTTGAGGTAATCTTAATTTTTTTAGAAGTCAAACAACAAGAATCAGTGTAATATTTGTAAATTTAGTTAGCAGTCTCTTTGACGCATCAATGGAGAGGTTAAACTTGATTCAACTTGCTCTAGAATTTTGTGTTTAGTCTGCAAACGTATAAGATGTTTTAAGTTTTAATTTAGTTATAGAATCGCATATCTCAGAAGAAATACCTTAGAGTTATTTTAGCTTAGTCTTTGTTTTCATAATTATATTTGTATAGGTGAAAAACACCTAAAGCAGAAGAGTAATTCCAGAAGGTTAGTTATATTTGAGTTTAATACAGTTTATTTATTCAGGAATGTGGAATTAATGTTATTCGTTAAGTATTTGTTGCTAGAAAATTTATTCAAAGATAACTCTTTTTGCTTTTAGTACCTTATGAAATGCCTGAAGTGCTATGATATCTTATTATCTAATTTTGATTCAAATTTTAATTTTGTGCAGTATGTAACTAGTTTTTAAATTTTGTCTGAATTTTTAATGCATTTTATTAAGACTTAAACTGTTTTGCATTTATAAGGAGGAAAGGGTACTACAGTACTGCATATAGTCGAAGATATACCAATTACTTCCATGCAGGAGTGTAAAACAATTTACAGTCGAACAGGCAGAAGGTCTCTGCCAAATGGATTGAGTGACGATTTCATTTGCGCAGGATTACCTGAAGGTGGTAAAGATGCGTGTCAGGTATGTTTGTCATTCTTTAAACAGTATCTAATATTTTTCTCCTTTGTTTCAGATTTTACACTAGATTTTTCTGCACTCGTTTTTAGGAACCTTAATCTCTATATATAATTGATAAAGTAAAACGAAACATTTTGAGCCACTAAAATAAAAATGAGTAATGGACAAGTTTATTTCAATTTACTTGCTTTAATTTATTTTTCGACCTTAATTTCCCCAGTTTTATTGTGAATACGAGGCATTTTCTGTAAAACGTCTGTCATGAAGGCATGCAGTTCTTTAAGCAGATAGCCTTCGCAAGCTTTACCATAATAATAAAACCCTTTGATAAATCTTTGATAGCGAATGATTTCACTAGAGATACGCGAAATATAACTTCTTTCATTAACATTGAGTACTTTTATTCGTTTTCGGCTAGGATAAATACATATTTATTTATAACTTGGTCCAAAGCTACTCTAGTCAATTTGCAAAAGAAGCATGTAGATATGTTGTTTTAGCCTTTATACATATAGTTTTAATGTGCGAGTATTTATAAGATTTTTATAAGACTTCTATTACTAGACAAATTATTAAATTTATTTGCCTGGAGTTTCTGCATCGTAATGTACATTGACACATCAGTATTGATATTGGAACAATATTTTTAGTTTTAGATTTAATAATACAAAGCAGTTAAATAACTGTCAAATGACATGTTATTTGGCTCCTTTATGTTCTAATTATTAAAGTCTAATTGATAATATTAATTATGGAAAAATTTTATGAAATATTTCCTATGATGGAGACTTTGAGCTATTTGATGTTATTAGCATGTAATACGTAATAATACTTGTAGAATGAAGTTAAAGGATGTTGAGATTTTCCAAAGATTTATTCTTAAGCAGCAGAGGTGATTAAATTGTTTGCAACTGCAATTGAGTTTCATTCATAAAATATATAAAACGTAAGTAAAAGAAAAAAATATTGGGCCTACTATTGTTTAGCAAAAACGGTATACAATAGGCTTTACATTCTAAAATCATCATCTGTTAGTAATATATTTTCATTCCAGTTTTTGCTTTAAAAATCTAAAATTCAGTATTACAACTCTGAAAATGTTATCTTTATTTTATTCTTCTGCTCCTTGTGTTATAACTACAGCTAAATGCATTTTTTGGTACCATAGAAAATTTTCATGTCAGCAATAGTATCAAAAAACTTTTTTTCTTACTCAAAGATAGTAATTACGTCATGACAATGTCAATAAACCGATAAATACTAAAGCATACGAAATTCTTGTAATTTAAGTGCCACCTCAATCAGTGTCGTGACTGTCGATATCTTTGCTTAAATCCTGGAGAATTCGTGGGTGTTTGTTTGTAAACGTAAAATACTTGCAGTATACGAGGCTTTCAGTAGGCTTGTGGTAGGGGAAGAGGAGAAAAAGAACCCCATTCATCAACTCTGCGTTGGAGCTCAGCTTAAAACCGTACTCTCACATGTTAGGTTCCCAAAGATTTACCACTGTAAAATTCATGAATATGATCAGGAAAATTAGAAAGCGTAACAATGCGGTTTTAAGCAATGAAGAGACTGTACGATCTGCTTAACAAATTTTTATTTCACTTGTGAGCAAGCCAAACTCTTCTCTTGAACTTGCACGGTCATCTGCTCGTAATTTGCTAACTCTTAATCTACGCAGTTTAGTTTAAAAAGATGGGAAAATAAGTAGAAAACTCAGATTGTGAATAAAATCATTACAGAAAATTTCTGCGAGTAACTTAACCAAACAGGATAGACGCGCTACTTCAACAGCTTGAAAAGCTTTAGATTATCAGTCGGTCTAAAATTCATCCTATATAGTCTCTAGGTATTTTCAAGTTCTTAAGTATTCTTAAGCGCAAATGTGAAGATCATTCAAAGGAAGAAACTTTTGATTCGCTGTAGCATACATGGGTAAGAAAAATGGACGACCTCGCAATGCAGTCATGAATACTGAAATTGAATCGCAAAAAGCTTATTAGCATTGGCATACCTAGCATGTTATATAAATGATAATTCTGATATTAGAAAAATTATGACACGGATTAATTATAATCATCGGCTTTTATTAAAAACTAATTCTTTCTTTTCAGGTTCACGTCGTGATAATAAGTGTACATGAAAAATCCCTTATAAATGTCTAATCACTTACCATTTGCATCGAAATGTATGTTTATTCCAAAATATATATGTATAATCATGAAAGGACGTTTTATGCAGTTAAAGATAAATAACAAAATATTAGTAATTTATTTTTTTTTTAAAGATCTGAGTAGGAAAAATATATAAAATCTTCTGACATAATGCAGAGTACATAACATTTTTAAATAAATTTCAAACGTAAAGATTCTACTGATCTCGGTACAATGATTTGTGGATAGAAATGTATCATGATACTCATCGCTGCTTTGGAACCCAGATGAAGTTCACTTTCCATGTGCTGTATTTCTTCAACTTACCAATCAGTATTACATGAATCTTCAAGTTTTATTTTTTTAACAAAGTTTTTGTCGTAATATCTTTGTCATTTGGATCTTCGGATATTGCAGCGCTTACATCATATCTTTGCCAAAGCTCATATCACATTCTGAAAACGCCCAAGTGCTGATTTTCTCCTCCAAATTACTTTGCATTAAGTAAATTTCTACATTTCATCTGGCTCTTCAACACACTTTGCTGGCATAATGCAAATTAGACCAATCTCACATTTTCACTTCAAATTCCATTCCGACTCTAACAACAGACATTGGCTAAAAAGATTATAAATAAACCGGTTTTGAAGTTCCCCCTTTTCTTTACCTCTCTAAGCTACCGTTTCTAAAGAATAAACTTTCAAGAATTTCAATGTCAAGCGCCGAAGGGCCCATACTTCATGTGAGCTGGTAAAATACAGCCTCGCGCAATAGACCAGCAATAATGTGCTCTATCGTATTCGTATTCCTTTCTTC